TGACAAATATACTAATATAAGGGAGGAAAACCAACTTATTGAGCCCAAACTTCACAGAAAACTATAAAAAACCAACAGATTCTGTCAGCAGACGGACGAGAACCTCAGCGAGCCGAAGGATTAAAACATCAGTGAAGTTATTACCTCGACACAGATTATCATACAAACAGAACACCTCTTTATTTTATTCTCTTATTCGTTTCTTATTTTATTCAATAAATTGTATTCTGGCGTCTTTTTTTTTCATTTCTCACCTCTGATTGTTTGGAGACGCTGTTAAGCTGATATTTAATGAAAAATCAAATTGGATTATTGTTCAATCTTTAATGAGTTTTCATTCAAAGTTTTCGTCTGAACACATCACTTGCTTTTGAGTCCTTTTTTTTAATACATAAAATTCATTTTAGGCCAAAAAAGAATCAATTAACTGAAGTCTTTTAAGAGAACTTGATGTCGATTTACATAGTAAAAGGTTTTTGGTGAACATCTTCACAACTTTCAGACTCTTTTAGTGTAAAAATGCATCTCGAAGGGAAACCGAAGGCTTTTCTGAGTTAGTTTGCATTGAAAAGAGAGCAACCAGTGACTGTTTTAATGTGAATAAAGGCCTGAACATAGACTTTAGGATGTGTTTCACTTCATATTTAGAACTTTTAAACTTGTCCTCCATCACAAATAAACACCTGAAAGAAGCAAATATTCACATTTTTGAAAAGCTGCTTTGATATTCACTCACTGTGCCTGAATTTTGTGCTTTTTTTTCTCCATAAATTACAGATAATTCACAAAAATTCCCCTGAATGCAACAAATTAAGTGTTTGACCCTAAAACGTCCTGTTACAAGTCATTATTTGGCGTTTAGGAATAATCTATTAATTGCCGCCTGTGTTTCATTCATCTGCTCTCATGTGTCAGATTGTCCTTTTTGGTGCTTTCCTGTTGGTTGAGCAGCTATTTTTAAGTGTTTTATGCAAATAAACAAAGCAGAATTCAGTGTTCACCGTTTGGGAAAAACTGACACGGCAGCAGAATTAGAAGCAACCCAACCCCAGAGGCTTCGCAGGATGCTTTGGCCGAGCAAAGATGCATAAAAAACTCACCAGAATTCAGGAAATTAAGTGTTTACAGCTTAAAATATCCTGCGGGAGGCTTAATGCGTCCGCCAATATTTAAATGAACGCCGCGCTCAGGGTTACAAACGCTTATTTGGCATAGTTTTAAATGTTATAAATTATATATTTTTTGCAGAAGTCGTTTTGGCCCTCCGTCTTTTATTCATTCATTTTAATTTGTTTAATGATTAATGTCCTGTTTTTCGTTCGTTAGACACTTTTTTAAACTATCTTTTTAAAGGTTTTCTGTAAATAAATAAAGCAAATTTCAACAAACAACAAATTTTATCGGCAGCCTGATTTCACCAAACAAATGTGCATCAAAACTCACAAGAATGAAGGAAATCAAGTGTTTGATGATCAAAACATCCTCGAGGATTATTATCGTTCATCTGTTCTAATGTGTTTGATGCTTATTGTCCTCATTTTTATTAGCTGAGCACTTTTAAAACTTCTCTTTTTTCAAGGTTTTATGCAAATAAACAAAGCAGATTTCAACATTTACTTCTGAGCAAACTGACACTGATCCAGAAAACCAAACAAAAAGTCTCCAGAATGCAGAAAATTTAGTGTTTGATGCTCAAAATGTCTTCAGGGAGGATTTTTGCTTCGTGTGTC